GCAATTATTAGTGACCAAAATGTTGCTCGTCGGCCAAAAAGGTTGGCCGACCCTGTTCTTTTTTGTGTTGTTTCTCATCTGCATATGCAGTGATTATTAATGTACTAATTTCTTGAATAGAAATTTTTGTATGATTTTTGTGTTCACAATGCTGCCGATCCTCTTCATTTTTGGCTCTCTTATTTTTAGACACGTTAGTGGACATAACGATCGTTTTGCAATATTTTCGACACCTAGTGGAAAACTCAAATAGCCGCTTTTCTCTTTGATTACTGTACCAATTTCTTCAAAATTTTCAGTAGCTTAAGATGCAATTTTTTTCCAGAAGGCTATTACTTTTATTTCTTTTAAATATTTCTGTTAGCTATGTGGGATTCGTTTTTTGTTTACTATGACGTCACCGAACGTTCTGCGGACGCTTATCCGCTGATTCCATGCTCGGCGTTTGCCGGTGGATCTAGTGCTTAGCGAAAGTGGGAGGTTTTTTATGTCGAACGGTGGACTGTGGTATGATTTTCAGAAATTGGTGAAATGCTTTACGTGTCCATATATTTGAGCATAGCTCTCTTGTTATGTTATATTTTTGTAATATTTTTTCAGGACTACAGTATTTAACATAGTTACAATGGCGAATGTGGATTTGGCTACATACCGCATCAGAATCGGTCTATTTCGAGGCGGTTGTAGAACTAAAGAAAAGGGAACATCGATTTCTGTTTCACAACTCTCGGATTATTCTACGAGACTGTCTTTAGCAATCCTGACAGTTGTGTTTGCATTGCTTGTTGTTCACGGAATTGAGAAGAATCCGGGGCCAGGATCATCGGATCAAAAACGTGTCAATGGAGGATCTAGTGTTGGCCCAAAAGGTCAGTTCACTTAATACTGAAAATGAATACGCAACACGAAAGTTCATTTTCAAAATTTGGTTTATGAATATTAGTTCAGATCGTATTATCTGCCTTTTATTGTAGATCAATGGGGAAAAAATGCCAACTTTTTTTCAATTTCGCAACCCTTGACTTAGAGCTAAATTAAATCGGACAACAACTTACAGTTGTTTCACTGAATTCAGTACATTTTTTAAAATTGCCATCACTAGTTTACTGGGGATTTTTTACCTTGATTTGGAGTTGCGGAGCGTTTTTTGTTGAAAAATGTAATCAATAAATTCAATCAGCAATCATTTAGTTTATTTCTCGCCGTACTGGCACAATAGGCACAAGACAATGAAATTGGAATAAATTATAAACAAGCAGTTTTTCAGGGTGTAGGACACGCGGAAAACCAATACTAGTTATCGAGCACTGGCGCCCATATTAGTCAAAAATTGGTTATTTCATTTAAAGCAAATTTGCCTGAACTGAAGACTTACCCGTGGGATTAGGTAAAACTGTCTAACCGCGAAAACAGACGGTCCGAAGATAAAAACATGTTTTAGTTTGTATTAATTATCAATACTACAGAAAAGTTATGAAACATTTTTCAAATACAATACAAAATACTGATGTTAAATCGGCAACCAATATAATGGAAATTTTAAATAATATCAATGAGATAAATAAAATTGGCACTGATCATAAATTTAAAATACTTTAAAATTGGAACTAAATGTTCTCAGCATTAGACTGCAATTTTTTAGAATAATAAATTACTATATTTCTAATAAATATTCATGCGTTATTTTACATATAAAAATACTCTATTTGCATTAAATAATAAATACTTTTTCAGAGTCTGCAATCAATGAACTTGAGAATGCTTTCTACGAGAACAATAGACAAGTTTCCACTGCAACAATTCAAAATATTTGCTCAATCGAAAAATGGTCTCGTCCCTCCGTTATCGAGAAGTTTATGATATTACGGATCACAGCTTGGAATCAGTAGATGAACAGAAATTATGCTGTTCTATCCCTCTGGAAAGAGAAAAATGGTTAGACGATTATATTTCTATATAACTTATCCCAGCGACGAGAGTGGCATCTAGAGCTATATTTTATCATAGACTTACACTAATAAATAAAATCTTTTTTCATTTTTGTCACAATAATACCTAATTTAAAACAATTGCTCCTCACCTTTTTTGCAACTCAGCAAGAAGGTTTGAAACAATGTAAGGTTTAATTTATTTTTCAATTTCTAGTAACAAACTAACAATTATTACTTAATCATTTTTCGCTCTAAACATATATTGTGTTTATTATTATTATCGCATTATATTCGTGACCTATATTGCGATTTGAACATTTCTTTAAAATAAATACAGGAGAAAACGGAACCGCGGAAAGAATAAAAGAAGTTGTTAACAATTTCATTGGGCTCGAGTCAAGAAAAGATGTAATTGAAGATTTTGAACCAGGTATGAGACGATTTTCATTCATCACAATAGTCTGATATAGAGTTGAATTACCCATCAAAATCTTACCTGCTATATTTAGGATGATTTATATCAGGCTGTGTGGCCGCGGCCTCATGCAAAAATTTATTTTGTGTCCCCGGAGCTGACAACCTTGGGCCACACTGATAATATCTATTTTTTATTCTGCATAGTTTCATATTACTTAAGAAGACAGGAACGCACAAAGTATATGCATATTTGTCATATTATAACATAAAAGAGCCAGGACAAAACATACAATACTGAAAACTCTAATAGGATATCCGATGACACCATGTGATCAGACAGAAAGAAATTTTTTTTAATAATCAATTCAGTAACAATATTGATATCAATAAAATTGGGTGCAAAACCCAAGGCTGCCCAAAAAAAACACAATTATAACATTTTAGAAAGTGAATGAATTCAAGTTCTCACATTAAAATATTTCAGGTGCGAGATTTGAAGATGTTTTCCTCGATTTACCGAGAAGGTTTCTGAACATCGCTGAGTTTAAACGTTTCGCATTATCGAAAAATGGATTGTTTTTGGGCTTGAGCGATGTTACCTCCATTGAAGATGATACAAAATACTCCTCCCTTGATCAAATGCTTAGCATGCTTTGGTTGTGGAAGGAAAACGCTGGTAAGAATTTCAAAAAGTAAACATGGTGGCGATAAAATGAAATGCTTGTTACAAACAATGTGATGATGTCACAGAATGCTTATAATAAAGCACTGTGTTTTCTACGTTTAATATGATAAATATTTCAAATTTTGGCACCTCAGTATTTATGTCGGCCGAATCAGGTTTTCCCATTTTAACAAGATTGTTACATGAGCAACAGGTTTGGCGGAACTAATCAATGTGTTCACTATATTTAGGTGATTCCGCATCGACGACGTCTATCATGGGAATACTTAATAACTATAAAGAAAATCAACATCCACAATCGGACGTCCAAGGTGAATAAGTATCTAATTCATTTCCTTAAATGAAATTACAACACTGTCTCGGAAAATATGGAATGAGCAAAATTTAAAATATTACTTGTACATGCAATGAAGAAACTAGCTAGAACTTCCAATGCTAGAAATAACACAAAAACATTGAATTATTTAGACAAAAGAATTGAAGACACCTTTCTCGAAATTATCGAAACATTTCACAGCCTATCCGAGTTCAGGGAATTTGCACGATCTAGCAATGGATTATCACTGAATAGCGTCGATGTTACTATGATTGAGCAAGATTCAAAAACGACTTTCGATAAAAAGCTTAGCATGCTTCGACTGTGGAAGCAAAATACTGGTAAGTGGTTGGGAATTTTTTTTTGTATGACGCGTTTTTACTCGCTTTTTTCGCTTTAAACAAGGCTTTGTTAGAAGTATTCACTATATATGAAAACCTACTATTATTAATCGTAAGAACCAGTATTTTTCTGTTCGGCATTGCTAAAAGCAGTTTATTGCATCCAGGTGGGTTGGCTGGAATTTTAATAATAAATGTGTAATCTGAATTGCCAACACAGTGAAGTATAATTACCTGTCTTCATCGCACCTTCAAATTATATGCATTTACTTTGTATGACAGACATATTCCAAATTCAATGCTTATCATGATAAAAAGATTAATTTAGAATATGTAGTTTGTGTGGTTGGTAATCACTCGCTACTGAAAATGAGGACGAGATATTTTAGCTTAATTGCTAAATGAAATAGTTTGCTGTTTCATCTTCAGCAAATCTTTACTTTTTTTTATTAAACTTACACCATTGCTCAAAGTAATACGTTTTATTCTAGATAATCTTGCAACAATAGCAACAATCAGAGAAATAGTTAAAAAATATGAAAACGTCACGCATCAGACAACATACCAAGGTAAACATTGAATTTATACAAAGTGCAGCGGTAAAACTAATATTTATTTTTAATAGCAGTTATGAGTCCCAAATCAATTTTGTAAGCAAAATTACAAAATTTTTGCAATAGGTAGGACGCCAATTTAAATGATTTAATCTCTTTTCGTTAAATTTGTGCAATTTTTATACAAAGCAGGTGAACCCGTTCTTCGGCTACCTTTGCAGGCAGAACAAGAAAGCTCGAATAAAGAAAACACATCTGCGACTTCAGCAGGTAAATTTATAATTCTTTTCAATAAAACGCTGCATGAAACGTTTAATTCTGTTACTTCTACAAATATAACAAACAAGAAATTTTGTTAGCACAATATTTCAGTTTAGATTGTTTTTATTTTTATTTATTTTTTATTCATTTCTAAGGCTTCAACTTATATTGCAAGTAAAAACTGTTATACTGAACAAGGGTACAACATCGAACACTGGTAAAAACAGGGTGAAGACTTCATTATTTGAATTGAACATTGCATTAGATGGTTTATTTCAGGGGTGTGCAAACTGCGGCGCGGCCTAATGTAGCCCACAAGGAAAGTGTGCGGAGAAGGGCCAATTTTGAATGGTGTGCCCGCGAAACCATTTTTCAGTTTAGTTAATCTATTTGCTTTGCAGAGCCTATACCAATACCTGAGTGCCACTGTTGTAAGAGTATGATTAGCTTGCAAAATCATGTTGCAAAATACACACTATTATAAAAACGTGTTTTTCACTGAATTCGTTCAAATTTGTAGCAGTTTGTAGCATTCAATAGCAGTTTTCTTTTCAGAAATACTCACCATGCAAATAAAGGATTGGCCCGTGGTTTCACTTAGTTACTTGTATCTGGCCTTACTGTAATAAAGGTTGCACACCCCCGGTTTATACCAATGCAAAAAGTGTGGGGAACATTGAGAAAACTTTCAGCTGAAATCTAATAAAACATATTAAAAAAATAATAATTTGGTGTATTAGTGTATTGTGTAATGAACTGCAAGTCATTTCTCCTTATTTACTTTGTATTGCGGATCCGTGTGTGTTAGTTGCCACAAGGATGCTTGAACGAGATAGTACAATTTCGTGGAAAGAGATTATGTTGTTTCTATATAGATTACCGTTTTGATATGTAACAAGCTAAACCTAGCAATCAAATACTTCATAATTTTTGACTATTTGCAGAAACAGAATTTGTCGCAAAAGTTAACGACAACACTCGCAAAGACATTGAGTATGACGTTCGATCAGTTTTTGAAGATCTGAACAGATTAGAAGAAGAAGTTCATCCAAAGCTCACGGTGGCCAATTTCAAAAATCAATCTGGCAACGAAGCTTTCGGTCAATCAAACGCAATTGGAACGGATAACATTCAAATAAGTCTCGATCAATTACACGAAGACTTAAAAGGAACCCATGTAATGCTGCTGGGAGACGCCGGATCTGGAAAAACAATTTCGGCCAAGAAATACGGAAAATTGTTTTTTAAGAAGGGTTGTAACGTTCTGAAAAATACTATAATGATCTTTTATATCTCTGTTTCCGATCTCCAACACGAAACAAAGTGGACCGCATTTGATTTGTTAATTACGCCACTAATTGGCCTTCCAACTGAATTGAAGAAAGCGGGTGAACGGTGGGTGCAAAAAAATGCGGACAAAATTCTCTTAATTCTAGACGGACTTGATCGAGCAGGCAAACCATTTGGAGGACCATATCCAAAAGTTCATGATCTAAATATGAATTGGGAAACAAACACAATTTTGGCGAACATTTTATCCGGTTTCTTATATCCAGGAATGAGAATCTTATCCACTTCTCGTTGGAGCACATTTTGGAAATTGGATTCAAAACAAAAACCTTCAAAGGCTGTAGTTCTTGAAGGTTTCAACGACGATGAAATTCCGAACATATTATCAAAATTGGTTGTATCTAACGCCAGAGAAGAAGCATTGCAAAATGAGATTTCCCAAAGCCTAAATATCGTTTCTCTGTGTAAGAATCCAATGTTTCTTATCTACATGGCCAAAGTTCTTAAACAAACCGAGACAAAAATACCAGAAACAGAGTCTGAGATCATAGTTTCCGTTCTAAATTTTTTTTTCCATTCTGAACACTTTAATGCAGACATTCAAAAACTAACGAAGCTTGCATTTTCTGGAATTGAAAATAATATCTTCTCTTTTTCCGCATTTCATGCTGAAAAACATGGTTTAGAAGTATCGGATCTACAAGGTATTATGACAACAAAAGCAGAGCCGGAACCTCATCAATTGTGCATCGGAAAAATGGATCTAAATTTTGAATTTTTGCATCAAACTATGCAAGTAGGTTTATGTTTTATCAAACATGAATCTGAGTGTTTTTAAAACGATATTTCACGAATTCCTGTAATCAACCGGTCACATTCGACGCAATTCGTTTCTATTTCTTTGACTCCATAACTTAAAAAGAAGTAAGCCTCCAACTAAAAACGTTAGGAAATCTTATAATGTTTATCCATTAAATCAATCTGGCATGGACGTTATACTCACTATCTGACAATAAGAATGCCAATATCATTGACACTTTCCGCGAACAAAGAAAAATCGTATGCCATACCCTTTACTTTAGAGTTGAAAAACCTGCGTTGCTCAAACCGTATCTGAAGATGATTAATTGTTACTTAAATACTCGACTGTAACAAATAATCCAATTTCCACCTTTCTAACTTTATAATGCAATATTTATATATATTTTTTTTTGTCGTATTTGATAATCAACAATTATGCGCGTCCGCCAAAAACGATTGCCAAATCATGTGTTCTGCTGATTGCGGTAATTCAGTGTTTAAACTATTGGTCTTGGCCACAGTGTATCGGAATGGAATTAATTTTAACTAACAGTGAGATAGTTTTAAATATTTCTTATGTTTTTACAGGAATTATTGGCCGCTTTGGAACTATTCAATTTCCAAGTAGAACGATTCCGTGAATTTGTCTCGGTCGAACTTAACAAACCTCAGTGGCAAGCAACTCGTAAATTCTTCTATGGAATCGTCTTGAACCCCATGACAAGCAAACTCGCAGAAAAGTATGTGAGAGGTGAGTCAATATTATAGGATTGATCATATAAAATTTCAACAACAAACGTTACAATGCCATTGAATGTTTATCAAATTTCTCATGACAAAATTTGAATCTGATTTTTAATTCAATCAAGAGCTTGAATGTTTTGTTATGTTTTAACGGCCAAGATTTGGCGCATGGATTTGAGCAAACTCGTAGAAAAATATGTCAGATAGGGGTAAATTTTTTATTCTTGATCATATGAAAAACTAAAAAAATATTAACAGTTTGTATGCAAATTTTTATCGAGTGCATCATAACATTTAAATTTAGTTCAATCAAATATACAATGCACTCACTTGGTTGAATATTCAGTTTGTCGAGCAGAGCTTTAAACTTGAGATTATAAAACCGCATCGCTAACATGGTTAACCCCATTGCGTTGACCACATCAGACCTAAAAATGGTATGAGTAAATATTCATATTCCAGCTAAAATACTTAAGATAAGATATTAAATAGACTAAATAACCTAATAATTGATGAATTAAAATATAACGTTTTATTTTTCAGACAAAAATATTAGTCTTCTTCATTGCGTACAAATTCTTGAGTCTCAGCTCAAGTCGTTTCTCAGCAGTGGGACGGTTTCAGACATTGAACTCGTTTCTCTCCTACACGAATGCGGTCCGAATGCAATATCTAAAGTAAAACATTTGATCAAACGATTGGAGATTTCACAGGATACCCCTGGTTTCACGCGATTGAAACCGGGTGAATATTACGCTCTGGCACACGTTGCCAATGAGTGTCTTCCTCTAGAATACTTCAGCATTAGAAGGATCAACCTAAATTCAAATATATTGCAACTCATGCACGACTCCTTAAAATCGGTGGATGTGATGAAGGTAAGTAAATGTTCCCATAATTTGCATATTGCCCATGACAAGATTACGAAATCTGTTCCGAGATCACAAAAAAAGCAAATCATTTTCATCCCGCGATGACATGCAAGAATATGTTAAGGGATTTTCCAGTGCGTGACAATGTTTTCATTTTTGTTCGTAGGAATTTTTTAGAGATTAGCTTTATAGTATGTACCCAGCGAAATAACGACGCGACCGCTGTTCACCCTACGCGGACGGGTGTATGAACAAAGCAATTCGAAATTTGACCTTATGGATAACGTTGTTACCAGTACATTGTTTGCATCAATCTTTATTTATTTTGAATTATGACTTGTATTCAAGGTTTTTTGAGTAATTCAACCTCGTTTAGGTGTTTCCCAAAACTTCCTTATTTGATGTAATTTAAATTCGTTGTTAGACGACATACAAATCTGAAGAGCTTCATAATTTCACGTTCTTTCTGCCTATTTCTTCGATGACGTTAGAATAGAATATCTGTGCTGGTTTAATCTTGATCATCTCTAGACGTAGATAAAATGATTACTTATTAAAGAAATACTCAAAAACTGTATGTTATCTTTTAAAATAACTTTCCAACAAATATTTCATTCAAATATTCTTCAATATACCTTTACGCATTGATAAATTTTCATTTTGTCACAGATCCAATATATTTGCGTTGAAGACAAAACATTAGAATTTGAACTGTTTCGGAAGTCTGCTGAACTTGCATCAAATGCAGAATCTGAAATATTTGGATTTTCAAATTCAAATCTAAATATTGATAAATTATCTTTCTTTATTCGGGGAGCTTCAGAATATAAATGGCAGGTATGGACATGGAACAGCATACTATAACGAACTTCTGATACACATTTGCAAAAAAACTAATAAATGTGATTTTTATAACATTCTCACTGAAACACCATTCATTTTAGTCTTTATTGTATTTTTATATGATGTATTCATGAGCCCTAGAAACCCAAAAAAGCTCTTCACAGGCAGCCACTGCTTGTTTAGGATCTACTATACTTAGTAAGGACATGTTTTTT